GTGCTTTTGGGTTGATGGATTGCTCAAATCGGTGTCCCTGTGCTTTCTGTCCAGTGTTCATGGTAACAGAAGTGAGTTGGGTAAATAAAGGGATTAGCACAGAGGCTGGATCTGTCTTACATCAGTGCTACGCTCTTGGAAACCTGCAGCGTTTACCTCTGAGGCTCTAATCCTGGGGAAGAGATCTATCAGCTGCTCCTTCCTCACACAAGAACACACGTATAGAGACTGGCTCCATATGCACTGCCAGATAAATCTAGATAGAGCCAGATAAAACTGGAGCAGACAAAACTGGTAGCACCATCATTCAGCTCAGCACGTACTGTAGCTTCATGCAGTGTGATCTCCTCCCTGATTTGTTTATTACTGCTGCAGTTTTCCAGAATCCATTTTGAGTTGTCAGGATTATCAGTGTGCTTTATGGAAAATACATGAGCTGGAGAACAAAAGGACTTTTAATCCACCCACTTATAAATGCTTTCTTGTCACTAAGTTGAGTTACGCAAGCATAGTCAGGAGTTACTGAACTTGTGCATATCAGTATTCAAACCGCAGACATAACTAAGGACTTAACCCCTCAAAGAGTTCTCAAAGAGTTGTACAGGAGTTAAACATACAGCGTTGGTCAAAAACAGAGGCATCTCACAGTTATACAAGATTCTGAAGATAATTTAGTGTCCATGATATTGTGTCACTGTCTGACAGATCGTTTTAACAGCCAGGCCTGTTTCTTGCTACATCCTCCAAGCCACCAGAGGGCCCCATAATAAGTTTATTTGAACTATTTTACCAGTTTAACTAGCTCAGCTGAGTTGGTTTCTGTTGTCCTTCATATTAAAACTAGCTAACGAGATGTCCAATGGTGCCAATAATTAGCTCCAAAACCTTTTGAAGAAGATCTCAGGTCCATGTATGTCCTCTCACTTGCCTGAAAAGTGAGTTTCAAATTCTTCAGTTCCAAGCATCAGTAATGTTCATAGATTTATTGAGATAAAAAGTGAAATTTTTTTTGTTAGGTCACATCTGTTGTTCTGACTGTTGAAAATTTAATATTAAAATATAAGTTTAGGTACAAGTTCATTTAAAAATAAGAGGAGATATCTTTGCAAAAATCAAATGTAAAATATAATTTTTAAATGTAAAAATTTTGATTTTTGCAAAATTAAACTATAAACTATATGTTATATACTATAATATAATAATATTTAAAGTAGTGGTTGCAATAAAAGAGCCGTCTTATTAGTTTGTCTCTATTCTAAAAGAGTAAGGAATATAACAGCATGCTCCATCACTGTTTTAGGAAAATTATCAAATGAAGGTTGCTGTGATGTAGCCAATCATGAAGCAATTATTATTTTCTAATAATTTTATTCCTCTTATGCCACAGCAATTTGCCAATGCTAACTCTCTCATTAATTAAATGATAACATGTCATACGCTTTATCCATTTGTAGTTATTTTTAATGTTGTGGAGCATCCACAAAGCAAGTTGGTTCCTTTTATAACTAATGTTAATAATAACTAATGTTTATAACTAATGTTTAATCAGTCATTCTATCACCAGCCTCTCCTTTTACGTTCTCTCTCTTTAAGTTAATCAGAGAAAAATGCACCTTGTCATGTTACAGAGAATCCACAAAACCATCCGTCCTGAAGGCTTTCCCATATTGGAAAACTTAAAAGTTACAGTTTTACCTCTGATAGTTAACAAGTGCTGACACTTTGCAAATAAATGTCTCCTCACAGAAAACTTCACCATTTACACATATTTTTTAATCAGTTAATGTGGACCATCCAACATACTCATCTCTGTGCACTATAGAAAGTTGCTATAGAAATGACAATGTATTAGAATGAGCGCAGATGGAACTACTGTCGGAGCTGCTGTTATAGAAAAATTAACCAACACCTTCTGGCCAATCAGAATGGACAATACAACAGCACTGTGATTTAAGCTTAATTTTATATTCGTCTTTCTGCTTAGAGAAGGAAATGGATCATGGCAGGATCAAGTAGAATCTAACTGACACGCAACTGATGAGAGTTGGCATGAATGATCCAGCCTTTATAACCACTATAAAAGCAGGGCAATCAGTAAGGAATTACAAATTGACCTAACAATGAACAGCTCCGACTTCAACCCAGTGATGTGGTGCCGATTATTTATGTAACACACTGTGTGATGTATTAAACATATTCTGGTTTAACTGCCATCTAAATATTCAGCCTATATACAGTATATGGCAAAATGAGCAATCTTGAAATTTGGTCAAGCGTATGAATAATGGAACTACATGGCAGCACAAGTCATTACATGGATATGATGGGGAAGAAAAACACTCTGCGGGAATTAAACCATGATACAAAACATATGGTAGAATGATGCCCCGTTACTGTAAAGACAGTCTTCATGCAGTAAATGTAAAGTTTCCACAGCTTCTCTATTATATCCAGATTCCCTTTTCAACCATGAAAAAGCTCATATGTCAAAAGCTAGTGTTACACAGAGGAGAGTTAAGTGAGGCATGGTGTTGTGGTGTTATTGCCAAAACCAATTAAATCCGGCTCACTCCAGTCAACAAGTACTTGAACCCTATACTGTATAACGCAAAAAAAATAACAGTAAAAAATTGCACTTTATAGTGTCCTGGACTCAGCTTTCACTCAGCGTACAAACAGCATCTCTGAGCATTCCTGCTGTCCGCCTGTGTGTCTCTGAGCTGAGCTTTGTGCATCTTTCATCCCAAAGATTTACCTTTTTGTTTTTCTTTCATCACGAAGATTTACCAAGTCTGAAATTCATTTTGGAAAAATATGAGAAGAACCACCCAATTAAGTAACATTTCATATGTTCAGTAGTATATGAACAGCTCACCATGAACTCAGACCTCAGCTTTATACAACTGTAATAAAATATGACTGGACTGATCAGTTAACGCACTGTAGAAGGGCAAGATGGTAGTGTTCTGTACAAAATCAACTGACATATCAAGGCATCCTATGATTAATAATGTAATTTAGTAGTAACACTTCCTCGATCACAGATAATATTAGCCTGCTTGTCCATTCAAGCTTCAGAGACAAAAATCACTGGTAAGTCTATGCTCTAATGAATAAATCAGGGCCAAACAGAAGTGAAGGGAAAATGATCCAAACAGCACTTTATCTTCTATGACAGTCAGCCATTTTGCAAAAACTAAACAAACTCTAACTGTACACAGTGCATCACTGAAATGCTTTGAAGGTGGCTTTAGAGGATGTCTTTAAATACATTTCGCTGACACACACAGTGGTGTGCTTAGAAACTTGGAGCAGCAAAGAAATAAACACAGTGACTATCTGAAAGGATCTTTGGATACTTTAGCCATCTGTGTTTAGGAGCTGACTAGACACACTGGTGATTATAGGAAAAAAATTTAAAGAGGCATCACGATTTCTGTTTGTGGCATTTGAAAACATGCATTTGTGCAAAATGCAAATTACACTGAGTAAAGATTTGACGATTATAGGAAAAAAAGTTAAAGAGGCATCGTGATTTCTGTTTGTGGCATTTGAAAACATGCATCTGTGCAAAATGCAAATAGCACTGAGGCACTGAGTAAAGATTTGGTTCCCACATTATACCACAGCACTGCTGAATTCTCTACTGATTGGTCAGAATGTGATTAATTTTCTATAACAGCAGCTCTAACAATAGTGCCGTCTGCAAGGATTATATTAAAGCATGTAAAAATTGTATGGTGGATGCTCTACATTAAAAAAAATGTTTTCTGTAAGGACTTTATGGAAGGAGTCTCCAGTGTCACAGCTTTGAATAGTCACAGATATTACCATAACTTTAAGATGTCTGACAGAGGAAAGTTTTCAGGAGAGCATTCTCTGTAACATGACCAGCTGCATGTATTAGGGGGAAAAAAAGAGAAAAACTGGTGAATTGTTACAAACAATAACAGGAACTAACTGTTTTCACAACATTAATGTATCTATAAATGGAAAAAAAAAAAAAGTGTCTTTAATTAATAAAAAAAAATTTAATCCGGCATATTTCTGTGGTAGGAAAGAAGTATAAAATACTACAGGATGTGGAAATTAATCAGGATGCATACCCAGCATGCACTGTCATGTTTTATTCCTTACTTAACCAGATGGGAGATGGTAGTAAACCAGGACAGGGCTAAACCGCAAATGTAACATTAGGAGACATATGTCACTTTTTTAAAGAAATTCACATGTATACATCAATTGTTTGTTACATTTGAAGTATAATATACACGTTCCAAATATTATCTTCCATAAACGGGAAGATAGCTTTTATGACTCCCATAAGTAAAGAAACCTATTTGGAAGCTAATCTTGTTTGGGTTGCCGAGAAGTGTGTTCTAGATTGTGAGATTTCCACAGATGTTTCTGCACATGGGGATCCCTGATGCTTTGCATTAAATCCAGCATGTTTTACTGTAGGCTACACTTAATCTAAACCTGATCCAAGAAGGTCATTTTCAGAAAAACGCATCCAAAATATGTTTGTCCACAGTACTCTTTGAAAGTCTGATGTCACATTTGTTTTGAGGCTCGAGGCTTGAAATGCATAATGTGGGCAATATGAACTCTGTGACATGTTTATGCCTAACAATGTGTTGACGCCCTTCTTTGTTTTTGAGCTGAATAGTGCTTTTTATTGATTCAGGGGCTCATATGAAAATGATACACCATATGACCAAAAGTATGTAGACACCTGGCCATCACAGCCATACAGTATGTGGGTCTTCCCCAAACTGTTGCCACAAAGTTGGAAGCACACATTTGTCTATAATGTCTTTGTATGGTTTAGCTTTAAGATTTCTTTTCGGTGGAACTAAAGGGCTAAGCCCAGATCTGTTCCAGCATGACAATGCCCCTGTGCACAAAGTGAGATTATTCTACACTAAAGTGATGTAAAATTTGTAGAAAGTCAAGAAAGGGCAAATATTTTGGATTTTATTTGAATAATGGCTGTGAGGTCCCTGGAGGACTAGTGCTTAGGCCACACTGCTCTCATTGCTGCAGCCTGGGTTCGATTCCCTGCCAGGGAACCATCCCCAGCCACTGGGATTGCGTGCAACAGTGCGCTCTCAGTGCCAGTCCCAAGCTAGGATAAAAAAACTGAGGAGGGTTGCGTCAGGAAGGGCATCCGCCATAAAAACTCTGCCAAATCAAATACGCGGACCAATGATCTGCTGTGGAGACCCCTAACAGGAGCAGCTGAAAGAGGAACAACATTTGAATAATGGCTGCAAGCTATGGTTCCTAACCTCTACCATAATCTCAACCATTTGTAACGTCATACAAGAATTCTTCTTGATTTCCAGTCATGACACTATGTTTACTACAGTGGCTTTGTCTTTCCCATTGACTGAATCTACATCAGTAGTTCTCATCACCGTATCTTCTTCACAACACTGCTTTTGTTCGATCAGAGATGGGCGGTGGTCATCGACTACTTCCAATTCTTGTTATTATCTCAGGACATTTGTCTGGAGTATGGTGTAAGACCTGTAGAAAGTTTGTGTATTCTCTTGTGTGTCATGTTTTCACAGGTCTTTCTTTTTCCATGCTTAATGTACCCTGCCAAAACTTTATATCACTCCAGGCCTCTGGGTGATTCTCCTTTATGAGACTGGGGGAATTTTCCAACATCTTTACATGTAGTTCATAAACACTTCCTACCTGAACCTCCAGTTTGCTCAGTCCTGCTGGGAGAGGAACAGAGGCCCCTCATCTTATTAATGCTCTTCATATATTCTTGTATCACTCCATGAAGAGGAAGCCACATCACTGAGCCAGGGCAATGGAAATGATATGAAGGTTTCTCATCATAACAGAGTTACAGTGAAGCTGTGGATCCCCCCAGACCTTATCATCTTCTCCACACACTATGTTTATGAATAATTATTTTATAACGTGGCTTATGAAAACTTTTTTTTTTTTTTTTGGGGGGGGGGGGGGGGGGGGGGCTGTGAATAGGTAAGGAATAATACAACGTTGTGCTTGTATGAGGAAAATAATGAACAACAGTGTGGTTTAATGCAAAGTTGGATATTTTTCCAAAGTATCACTTCCAAAAGTGTTTTATTCCTCTTGTACCACAGTAATTTGCCAATGATTGGATTATTAATTATTAAAACAATGACATGCCACATATCTTTTTCTACATGGCATTTATCTATCTATAGTTACATTTAATAATATGGAATATCTGTGAAACATATTAGTTCCTGTTATCACTTACATTCTAACTGTAACATTACTTGAAGTTAATGAGGAAAATGTTTATTATTAGACTTGCTTTTACTATAGAAAGGATAACTTATTGGAACAAGCACATTAATATAAACCTGTGATTTGTATTGCATCCTACCACCTTCTGCCCAATCCGATTTCGGCAGCGCTGTGGTATAGTAAGTCATATTATTCACCCCATCTGTATACTGTATGCAACTGTTGGCATATTGTTTTTGCAAAGATGTTAGTCTGCACTCCCAAAAAATCTGTCTGAATGCCCCCATGTCATTGAATAACACCACTACATTACTTCTTAATTATTGGGTTTACTCCATTTCTTTCTTGTTAAATGTTACAGGGTTCAATTTACTTAAAGGGAAGAACAATCTAAAGTCTACCTACTTTATTTACCTTAATTAAATGTTGACATCACTGTTTCACATCAAACGTCTTGTCCCTATGAATAGTGGATATGTTGGCATGTTACTTTAACAAGTACATATACAACAGAAGTCAGACACAGGTACAGTGATAGCCCTCTATTGTAGAACAATTTATTTTAAAAATTCAATTTGACCAGTTCATAAAAATACAAATTTACAAGCAAGATATTCATGTGCAAGATATTCTCCGTTTACGTATAATATGGAACCACAGAGTAAGACTATGCCTTATATGTTAGCTGTGTTCCCAGGAAGCAAGGTTGGATACGCTACTTGTTAATTATGCATGCTTGAACACAGACAGTGTCCTTGACAGCTAAATGTCTTATTTATTTCCTGTTCAATCGTGTCTATTTGAACATGGTGCACACATTAGATAAGCTCTAACATAATGTATAATCGCAAGCAAGAGACAAAACCTGCTGCAGAAATGCATTACTGCAGGGCATTATCTCAGAGATATGCTGCTTTGCAAAGCCAACAGCTTCCTTCACAATCATTGAAATTCACCATGCGAGATGGCCAGTTCCCATTATAGCTCCACAATGGAGGCAATAGAACAGCCGTGTACGTCAAAAGAGCATTATCCTCTGGCAGCTAATTATCAGCCTTTAGATTTTAATGGCCTTTTCATGGAGGTGAGAAGCAAAATCAATCAGAACTGTTGCCCGAAGATGGTCCTCGTTGAAGGACCCAATTTGTTTACGGGTCTACATCAATGCCCAGAGTGTGCAGAGTAAATGGAAAGCAGAAAGAGGTGAGAGAGGATGGATCTGGCAAGTTAGCACTAGCATCTGCAGTGGTGCTAAGTATCAGGCCAGGGGGATGAGGAATTGGGCTGAGCACCCGCTTTCCACTGAGAAGCAGCTTGCTGTTGTCAAGCAGCACATTGAGCTCTCCCTACACTCCCATCATCATCGCAGTCATTCATCACCAGCTGCACCAAGCAGGTTGTCTGTTTGGGCACTTTTCCAAGATTCTGATGCAGGAAGAAAGAGTTGTACAAGACCCCATCAAAGAAACCCCTGTGTAGTTTTCTCAGTGAGAATATAAATGCTGATATAAGATGAAACTGCAAGAAAAGGGAAGAACACTAACCCAAACATTAACCCTTAAATCATGCAAATTGTTACAAATTTGCAAATGTGACACAGTAGATAAGCTCTAACATAATGCATAATCGCAAGCAAGAGATAAAACCTGCTGCAGAAATGCATTAGTGCAGGGCATTATGTCAGAGATATGCTGCTTTTTAAAGCCAACAGCTTCCTTGGCCAGATAGCAAGATTTCCATAATTATTTCTTTTGATGTGCATGTGAGCAGGTAGAACAACTTCAAAAATGGGAACTGTTAAGCATTAACCTGACTCTATAGAGCAGTCAATTTATAATAATTAGAAAAGTCAAAATAATACGAAGGAAATAAATGTACCAACCTAAAAACAGACATTTACTTTATTAATTTAACTGAAATTGCCAGTGATGTAATTCCTACTGGAAGTACGCCTGCTTTAATGTCAAAGGTCACATGTATAACCCATCTATTAAAATATTAGGCTCATCGTTTAAATGCATACAAAAATATCTTAGAGCAATAAGGTTTTTGTTTGTGTTTTCTAAACTTTTCAGTTTAAATTGACTTTATTTATAGGCTGACCTATTTTTCACTTATTGGGGTTTGGATATAACCCATTCAATTCAAGCAAAATTAGATAATAACTATAAGAACTCAGCAATAAATAGCTTTGATTAAGCATAGAAATTAAGAACAATATCACACACCTACACTATGCTTCACAGAACCCAGGGTTTACCCATACCCCACTTTGAGGACCAGTGTCAAAGGTGATCGTATAAGACACATAACATGAATGCAACCGCAAAAAGGTTTCTGCAAACTAGGTTTTACAGAGACAGCTATATTGTACCCAAACTGTGACCAGTAAAATACCCAAATAAATTAAAACTGCTGGATGAAAAATTCTGGTGCTTATATATATATATATATATATATATATATATATATATATATATATATATATATATATATATATATATATATATAT